CCTCACCCCTATTTATAGGCAATCCGGAGTGTCCAGAACGGCCCGTACCGATACCGGAACGGCCCGTTCTGAACTCCCAGATCACGCACAAAATCCACGCCCAGAACGGCCCGTTCTGAAAACAGAACGGCCCGTTCCGGGACTCATCCGGAACGGCCCGTTCTCCCTCAGGAACAGCTCGTTCTCCCTCCGGAACGGCCCATTCTCCCTCCGGAACGACCCGTTCTCCTTCCTAGAACGGCCCGTTCTCCTTGACGGAACGGCCCGTTCTCAACTACAAAATGTAGTTCAATTCAGTAGTGTGGAACGGCCCGTTCCAGTTTGGGAACGGCCTGTTCTGGGCTACTGAATCAGCCTCTATTTTTTTTTTTTTTTTTTTTTTTTACAATGTTACAATAGACATATTTCTAATATTTTCTATTTTATCTTATGATTGTTCTGATGTATTCCTTGTTGAATGAGGTATACGAATATGTGTTTACTTTCGCAAATAGACAAGTTTTGATATGAATTAAAGTGCTCTGTGGAGATTATGTGAATATGATAAGATATGATGATGTGATATGATGATGAGACATGACGATGTGATATGATAATGAGACATGACGATGTGATATGATAATGAGACATGATAATGTGATATGAGAATGCATAGAGTCTTGATTGACATGCATCATTTGCATAAATGTTTTTAAGGGTACGATATGGAATACACTGCCAGGGAAGGCCCCCTAGTGTAAAAGCTTTGGGGATTAGTCATTGGGGATAGCAAGGTTTGTAAGTCCCAGTCTCGCCCATTGTGTGCATGGGATGTATCTTACACGGCTTAGCTATCCCGACAAGACCCTAGTAATATGTCCTTCTAGTGAGAGTGCGTAGAGGGTGTGACCCAGCATGTACTCCTAGATTATTCTTCGTGTATTGCTAGCGACAATATGTCATGTGATATGTTACTGGCGCGACATGCATGATAATACGTAGTCCGTGTCCATACATATGCATTCTTAATGTTATATGATAAATTAATGTTTTTATGTCTTGGATGAGTGAGATGTGATATTATTATTAATATATCTATGCTATACATGTCTTGTTTTTGTTTGACTATCTAGTATATATTCCTACACTGTGAGTTAGAGTGAGATGTTTCTCACTCTCTTTTCTTTTGTGTTGCTTTCCTTTGACTATTATACAGGTGATCATCAGCGTGAGGCTGAGGATGTTGGTGTTGAAACTTAGGCTTCTATGTTGGGCTTTGCTCTGATAGGACATGTGACATTGGGGCGTAGATAATATTAGATTAAAATGTTTTTTTTATTAAATTGTTTTGAAAACCTTAGTATCATTTCTTTGCAATTTTTTCTAATTAAGTTATTTGTTTGTTATTGATGTGATACTCTCTATCTAAACACATTTGGTATTTCAATTATGAAAAATTATGTTATTCAAATTTTTTTACCTATGTATTATGGTATGTGGGGTAGAGGGTGTCACAATCACAACCTTTCTCATTCCTTTTGTTGTAATGATATTATTATCTACAAACTTCACCTTATTCTTGACGCTTGCATCAAAATCAACTAGTCAATCTCTATGCATTGTCATATGATTTAAATAACATGTGTCAAGATACTAAGATTTAGAGTTATCACCATAAGAGTCTGTGGTTACCATTAACAACACTTTATTGGAATTCAATCCTTCATCTTGAGAAAGATATGCTTCAACATCATATTTTCCTTTTCTTTCTTTGCCACTTTTGCATTCTCTTGCCAAATGCCCCCAACTTTGGCGATTGTAACGCTAGATTTTCTTCTTATCAAACTTTTCTTTTCCCAAAATCTTTGAGTTGGACCGCCCTATTATTTGTTTGAAGACTCAACTTGATCATGTTTAATCTGACACTGATTTTGACCATTTGATGAGTCACCAACTCCACCACTCTTTCCTTCTTTTCCCAAAATCTTTGAGTTGGACCGCCCTATTATTTGTTTGAAGACTCAACTTGATCATGTTTAATCTGACACTGATTTTGACCATTTGATGAGTCACCAACTCCACCACTCTTTCCACTTTTCCACTTGCCTTTTCCTTTCTTGTTCCAACCACCTACACCTTTCTTCTTGTAGTTGGTTTGAGCCAACAAAATTTGTTCTTGAATCTTTTCACCATTCCTCCTCCCATTTAATCTCTATTCATGAGCTTCAAGAGAATTATGCAACTCCTCTACCTTCATCGTTTCAAGATCTTTGAATTCCTCAATTGCAACCACAATATGATCAAAACGAGGAGCCAAAGTTCTCAACACCTTGTCTACAATCTTTTGATCTGTAAACTTCTCATTACAAGATTTCATCGAATTAACGAGGGCTTGAATTTGATCAAAATAATCAACTATGGACTCTTGATCATTCATAAACAACAACTCATATTGCCTTCGAAGATATTGAAGCTTCACCTCTTTCACTTTATCAGCACCTCCATAAGCTTTATGCAGAATATCCCAAGCTTCTTTTTTCGAATTAGTTGAGCAAATTTTCTCAAAATTTATAGAATCCACACATTGATGCATTAAGAAAAAAAACTTTACAGTCTTTCTTCTTTGACTTTCTATAAGTTGCCTGTTGCACCTCTTTAACACCTTCTTGCATTTCTTGAATCCAGTTCTTCACAATTTGTAGCACTTCTTGGATATCAAAAATGACACTGATCTTCACACACCATTGATCGAAGTGTTTGCCATAAAAAGTAAATAAGTTGGTAGGAAAAGCCCCATAAGAACCATGATTCACTCTTCCAACACCACGCAAGAAAGTAGAAATATCCGCAGACGGATAATAGAAACTTGCATAAGAGTTTCCCTCACAGTAGAACGCCTTGCAACCTAGTGGGTTTCACACATACCACCCATAGGTCTCTCACAATCAACAAGCTATTGATACCAATTTGTTGGGAATAACATGCATAGAAGTGCACACACTCGTAACAAAGAATAGAGAGTGAAAACTTAAAGAAAAACTTTATTCATACATTTGTATATTACATATGACTACTCATCCCTCTTATTAATGAGCAATAATACAAACATGTATTTATAAAGTACATGGACAAATGATACAAACAGATAACACTAGCAGACTAATGTATACTATTGGATCGAGCGCTTACCACTGGGCCAAAAGCTATAGCTGATAGTCAGGGCGCAACATTGATGCAACCCGCACCACTGGGCCAAAACTATAGCTGATAGTCAGGGCGCAACATTGATGCAACCCGCAACAATCTCCCCCTCAGCAATTGCCCCGCTGGGTATCGAAGTCATGACCTTGGCTCTGATACCAATTGTTGGATCGAGCGCTTACCACTAAGCCAAAAGCTATAACTGATAGTCAGGGCGCAACTCTTTTTACTTAAGAGCGCAGCAGCCCAAGCGCCATAATTCGACAGTGACTTGGCCCACCTAGCCTCCGCCACGAGACAATTGATACAACCCGCAACAATACAAATGATACTTATAGACTATATCATCAGACTATATTATCAGATGATGCCATCAAACAATACCATCAAATGATACATATATGGACTAAACATTCAAACTATACATACAAATTAAACACACAAATTATACATACAAACTATATATTTGAATTACAATACTCAACACAAATTATATGCTCTAAAAAGTATACTTAAACCTCAAAGATATGTCTTAAAAGCATGACAACCTTACAACAAGTATATATATTATCTAATAATATAAATTTAAACTCTCAACTTTTTTTTCTAAACCAAAACATCTTGCTAGTGCATTGATCATACTACCACACCGTGCTAATACTCTCGAATCCCCCTTTCATGATTAACGAACCCATTTAACGAATGACCCTAAGCAAGCCAATGGATGCAAGGTCCAATTACCAGTTGGGTTAATGAATCTCTTCCTTCTCGCTTGAAACCAACTTCAACCTTTAATTTTTGCTAAACCTATAATATCTAACAACATACTATTTCCTAAACTGTATTGTATAAACAAAATTAGATATCAGTTTATGTATTGTATAATGTCATAAAATTTGCTTATGTTTAAATGAGATAAACTAATGTTTTAATTAAATACAAATTTTATCACATTTTTTGTATTTATTGTCCCTTTCAAAAAACAATTCAAACCAAATTGATGCATTAAAATAAAATAAAAAACAATGAAATAAAAAAAAATCACAATAATAATGAGATGATGAAATAACAAAATTACAATAATAGAATGAGATGATTTTTGTCTCAAAAGTCAAAACTGATATATTTTTGTTTTTTTTTTAAATAATTAAGCGTATAACTCTCGCTCACTAAATCGATCTAATTGAAATAAAATACTCCTTCTAATCCCATATACATATAAAAATCAGAAATTAAAACCTTGATTAACAAACCCGAACAAACTACTACTGTACTAACAACTTTCATTTATATAAATTAAATTGTAAACAACTCTAACTTCAACTCCATTAGAGATTCATCGAGAAACATTAGTTTAAAAGATTAATCAAGTGGACCATACTCTGCTCACATGCCGTGGTTTCAAATTCAACAATTTTTTTTAAAAGACTAATTAATTTTTGCATTACCTTTGTTTATTAAAACAAATATATGATCTGAACCCCATGAAGGTTTAAGATACGTAACAAGATTGGAGACGTGTAGCCAACAGGTGAGTCAAAGAGATTAGACATTTAGACCATAGACCAAAGCGATTATGGGACCCATTCCCCATAACAACCATTGACCTGTTCTTTCCCCCCAACTTTCATTACTCAATGCTAAAGTTATCATTATTCCATCTCCACATGCTTCTCCGGGCCCTCCATCCCTTGACTTTTTGCCCAAAACACCCTCCTTTCTTTCAACAAAAAGAATCTAATCTTTCAACTTACATCTCCCAATATCATTCTTCAATATACACATATTCCACCAAGAAAATAATGCCGAACCAATTCAACTCCAACATAACATCAAATCAAATCAAATAAATAAATAAAATGCCCCTTTCAAAATATAATTTCCATAAAACAAAACAGATCACTATATTTCATTCCGAGACCTGTATGAACTACTTCTACTAATTTGTCTTTCGGTTAAATTTACACAAAAGTCCTCGTCAACTTTAGTCGACTCCGTCAAAAAGTTGACTTCATGATTCCATTCTCCGCTTTTCCGCCCTCGAACCTCGCACCCGCCGTTACCGTCACCGTCACCGTCACCGTCACGGCACGAGGCACACTTAACGTCCCCCCGTCAAGTTTCCCAAACGACGCCGTCTTAACTCAACTTGTTTGAAGGCCCAAACCGACGCCGGCTACGGCGGTTGACGGCAGCGCGTGACGGTGCTCTCCCTCGTACGTCACTATCAGCATCTTGGGGTCATCTTGCGCGCGCTCCACGTGCTTCCTCGCCGGACACCCTCTCACGGTGCTGCACTTGTAGTAACCACTGCCAATAATATATACCAAACCCAAATAAATACCACCATTCATTGTTACCCAAATTAATTTAATGACAATTCTCGTAAACATTTATTACACATGTTATCAAATCCAAATTTCAAATTTTTAGAATTGCATTCAAATTTTGATCTTATGTTAAGAGTGTTACAGCATTTGCTTTAATTATTTATATATTTTTTAAAAAAGGTAAATTTCATCTACTTGAGACAAAACTGGATTAAGACTAAAAAACTGTGTATTTTTTTTAGGGATTTTGTAAACTAAATTGGAAATATAGTTTTGAAAAGGAAAAAAAAAGAGTTTGAGATCTGCATTTGACTTTGACCAATTGAACACGGTGATGGGAGAAGGAATAGAATAATACCGAGGGTAGGGTGAACCCTTGATGGGCTTCTGACCGTACTTTCTCCACGAGTATTCGTCCGGTGGGATATCGGCGATCTTCGAGCTTATCGCCGGGACGCGGATGGTGCGTTTCACGCGTGATTTCCTGGAGACAAAAAATTGACATGAGTTTTTGTTTGTTTCTCGTTTATAATTATTATTAGGATTAAAATTATTTAGTTTTATTTGAGTGGGTGGGAGAAAGTGAAGACCTTTTGCCGGAGCAGTGGCAGGAGTGTTTGGCGGAGAGGGCGGCGTCGCGGCACTTTTTGCGGTGGGAGGAGGCGAGAGGGGGTTTGGGAGGGAGGAGGAAAGGGCCGATCTTGCCGTCGGAGACGCTGGCGTCGTTGGTGAGGGAGGAGGTGGTGGTGGCGGTGTTGGTGTTGGTGTTGGAGAGAGTTAGAGTTTGGTCTTTGTTGCTGGGCTTAGAGTTCAGAATGGTGGGCTTAACGAAATCTAGAGTAAAGGGCTGGGGCTGGGGCTGGGGCTGGGGTGGAGCGCGGCGGAAGCGGGCGTGGCCGGTGCGGTTGAGGAGGTTGATGAGCTGTTTGAAGTTGGAGACAGTGAAGTGGGTGATTTGGGAGCAGTGGAGGTTGTTGAGAGAAGGAGAAGGGTTAAGGAGTGGAATGAGATGGTCCATGCTCTTGAACCCAGCGGAAGCTGCTTCTTGTATTGCTATGTGTTCCTCCATGGGAGAAGGGAAAGAGGTTTGGGTTTGGGATTATGTTATGGGTTTGGTGAGAGGGGGGGTTTGTTATAAAAGAGAGAGAAAGGGGTTGGAAAGTCAAACAAGTTTCGTGGATCAAGGGTTCAGATTTGAGATTGTTTGCAACAGAGGAAAGTACGCCACGACAAACCAAGAGTTACTGTGGGGAAAGAGGTTTGGGTTTGGGATTATGTTATGGGTTTGGTGAGAGGGGGGGTTTGTTATAAAAGAGAGAGAAAGGGGTTGGAAAGTCAAACAAGTTTCGTGGATCAAGGGTTCAGATTTGAGATTGTTTGCAACAGAGGAAAGTACGCCACGACAAACCAAGAGTTACTGTGAAGCTCCTCATATCATGCATTGCATTCATGCTGCCTGCCTGGGCCCCACCTCCCTTCCTTCCCAAGTGCCCAAAACTATATTTCATTATTATGCTTAAATCCCTATTCTCTGCACTATCTTATGCATCCTTTTTTTCACGAGAAAGTTCTTAATACTGTTCATAAACTCTGCGTTTCCATTACTTGCAGACACGACAGTCAACGCTTTATAAAGCTGACGTTCTACTTTCCTTAACGTGACCAAGCCCAAAGCAATTGTCACATCATTCTTATTTTTTCTACGTTTATTTTTGTTTTAATTATTTTTACAATTTTTATTATATATTTAGCTGTACATGATAACAAACAAAAATAATAATAGAGTTTATTTGAAAATATTTATTATATTAAAAGCATAAAAATTATTAATGCTTGTATTAAAAAAATTTAAAACATTTATCATACATTAAATAATTTTCCATCGTATACATTCATCATAGTGCCAGATCTACATTGATTTGAATGCTCTATATTTTAATTAAATTAATAGTTTTACATAGATTAATATAAATAATTATATTAGTTAATTTTATTATATTTATAAAATAAAATTATGACTCATTAAAATTTTCATTTTTACTTATCATTAAAATTTTATGAGATACATAAAAATGTTATTTCATGCTAAAGAATATACATGAATATCAATAAAAATAATAAATATCAATTAGAGTGAATTTTTTTTGTGGACAAAAATTTAAGTGAGTTAACTCTTGAGGACTCGTAGTACCGGGATAAGATTAAAAAATAATAGAGGTCTAAAAAATAATTAAAGTGAGAGAGAAACATATATTTTTACAATCTTTAATAAAAACAAACAAAAAATAATAATTTAATATTTTCTTCAAATTATAAGATGAGATCAATAATTTTTTATAAACTACTCTCTGATCACTATTATAAAAAATATATTTTTTCTTAAATATAAATAAATTTTAATTATTCTTGTCTCATTTAATAATTTTCTTTTCCAAAATATTACACCTTTAATATAAGTTTTCAATTGCATTACTTTTTTTCTATATAAATAAGGATAATCTTAAAAATATGTTATTGAATTAGTAAAATTTAATATAAGTAATTAATTTTTTTCAATGTGTAAAATATTTTTTTATAATAAAAAATATGGAGAGTATGTCTTAACTATAGTAAAGACATAAGAAAATAATATATATCTAAAAAATTTGTACTTTGCATCGGTTAATTTTCCTCATAAACCTTATGACTATTTTTAACATTAATCTCTTGCTTTTCTTATAACTTATTATTATTAAAAAAAATACTCCCACCGACTCAGGTCTAAGATCCGATCCAACGTACAATCAAAGTTTTACAAATTTATTATAGGTTTTAATGTTTCTTATCTTTGAAAATTTTCCCATTTTTGTATCCTCTATTTCTCTTGTCTGTTCACGTTTTTATTATATTTTATTTTAGTTTTAAAAGAGTCACTTGATCTATACATTTTGCTTATTTTATTTTAATTTTTGACGTGTCATTTATTATAGGCACGAGAGAATGAAAGACTCTCTATCTCAGTCATATTAGACGTGGATGAGACAAGAAACTCCTTGTCTTAATGGTGTTAGACGCCTAGGGGATGGTGTTTGATGCGAGTTACATGTCTTTAATATGATGTTTAAGTTATTATATGATTAATAAATGATGACTTAATTGTATGATGAAGATAGTATGATGATAATTCATGATGTTTCTTGTTGATATACTATATAATGATGCTTATGTTATCAAGTTGTAAGTTGATAGATCATGATGATGTTGTATAATTGTATGTTATTATGATTGATTAAGTTGTTTGACATGTGGTGTAGATACATGTTTTTGTTGAGATACATAAAATTAGAGGAGAGTGAAACATGTTTTGAAAATTAAAATATCTCATTGTATGGATATAAGTTGTGATGCTATATGAGCCTAGTTTAGTAAGTAAGCTAACTTTTGAATGAGTAGTTATTTTAAGTTGTCTCATCTAGGTTTTATGTGAAGTTCTTATGTGGGCAAGGTCGAGACATATGTGTATAAAGTGACCAATTGAGTAAAGTACAAAATTAGGGACTCAGTCCCTAATTGAGTATTGGAGAGGTGTGTTATTAGAAGAATAGTCGATGGGCTAATCTCACAGGTAGCTTAGTGTTGCTAGCTAATGTTGTGATATGTTCATATTTTTAAATTGTTCTACCTTGACAAAGTGCTAGATTTCCTAGTTTAAGTGGTGACACTTGAGAAATCAAAATAAGTTATTAAACAGGTTCCTTGAGAGGCTTGAAGTTGTATATATCTAACTTAGTTGTGATAGGTCAAATGTTGTGATTCAATAGGGTCTAGTCACTTAAATTGTTCACCTCAATTATAGGAAATTTGTATAATTGATATGTGTGATGATGCATTAGTTATTTATTGTTGTCTGTGTTGATAATGTTGTTATGCTAAAGTTGTTAAGATGTGTTGTGGTGTAAGTTGTATGCGTTGTAGTTGATGATGAGCTAAAGTTTTGTAGTGTAAAGGATTATTGTTATTTAAGTTGTTTATGTTGTTACTTCATGTTGTTGTATACGTTATTTCCTTTTCATAAGTTTACCCTTACTTGTTTTCCTTATAGTTGGGATTGTAATGATCACAATTGGTATGAGAGCAGAGTAGGATTAACATGTGGGCTTGTGTAGTTTGGTGGAAGATCATGCTAGCAATGACTTAGTTTTGGAGATGCTACTTTATGTAGATTGTTTTTGGTATAAATGTTTGATCGACAATTAGGTTTATTTTTGCACATAGTGATATAGTTGATGTATTTGTATATATGCATAGGATATACACCTAACCCCATAAAAGGATCTATGTTTTATTGTTGATGCCCAAAAATTGTTTTATGATTTTTGCCATACATACACACATATCATGTATGAATGACCAGGTGATTATTGTATAATAAACCTAGGTTAGTCAATTAATATTTTCATTGTATTGTAACTGGACTATAATAAATATAGAGACTTATCAGGTTATTTCACGATTCATTCACAAGTAAATTCATTCGATTCATGCATTACAATAAAAATAAATAATGAGTCAAATCTAATCAACCTATTTAATTTTATGAAAGGTTAATAATCTATTCACTTTTTTTTAAACCCATTGGATTACCAGATGAGGATATGAGTATCAGGTCAAATATAAGAAAAGGACCGATGACTCCTCAATATAATTACACCGAGGAGTCCTCAGCTCGATACAACAACCTACTTAACTTGGTTATCGCAGACAAGCACTAATGGACCTTCTTATGGGCCTACACATGGACCTAGGCCCATTAAGGTTAATATAAATAAGTGTGATTAGTAATAAAGAGAGGTACGTTTTCATAATTACCAGATTAATTAACATTGAAATCTATGAGATCGAAGACTGACTTAAACATTGGAGTGTCATTTGCAGGTACCCCACTCTTTTCCTAGGATACATCATGGAAGATGAGGACCAAGTAGGAGTATCAAAATTACCGGAGTACCCTTATGCAGGTACATAAATGATTTGATTGAATTTTTAAAAGACTATTTTACACTATTTTTATTAGTCATTTATTTTCTTTTGTTTAAACTTTGATAAAATATTAATTATTTATTCTAATTATATTTTAACATGTGCAATGCACAAACTAAATATTTATTATATATAACTAAAATTCATAATAAATTATGTATACACATAAATAGTATGTTTAAATATATAATTTATATTTAAAATTTGAATAAATAGATTTTTTAAATAAATAAGTAATATTTTAAATTTATAATAAATAATTTATATTATAGTGTAATATTATTTTTATTTATGAATAATTTATTTTAAAAATATTAAAATTTAATTTATAAATAATTATGATAAATAAAAATTAAATTAAATATATAATTAAAAATCTTTGAAAAAACTCTTAAAAAATATTTTTATATTAAATAATATTTTTTAATATATATAAGTTGATTTTATTCATGATATTAATAAGAGAAAGAAATGCTAGTAAATATCGGTGTAAAATCCTACAATACAAATATTACATCCTATAACAAAAGGGTCTTCTCAACCGTTAAAACACCGATTTTTAACCTATGTTATAAAAGATCTTCTTGTTGGGCTGAAAATCGATGTTTAAATTAATTTTATTTATTTATTGGACCAATTACGTAGTTAAATAAGATAAATAGGAACAAATGACCTTTTTCAGGAAAAAAAAAAAATCGTAAATCGTACCAGTTAAAAATAAAAAATACAAAATCTAAAAACTTTCTTTCTAAAAAAAAATAAAAACAACGTGTAAATGGGTTAGTGTTCAATGGCTTATTGTTTATTATATCTCCTCTTAAGAATTAAAGTTACTTTTTTTTTTTGACACCATAGAATTAAAGTTAAACAAATAAATAAAATCAAAAGAAGTGAAGGGGTAAATGGTAATTATTGCGGGACGCTCTCATCGAAAGTTTCGCCTTTGCATCTTTTTCCTTTTGTCCTTTTGTTTATGGTTGACTATGCTTTTGATAAGTATCGGTGTAAAAGCAAAGAGCAAGTCATGGGACTTTAATTTTTTAAATTAAGCATGGATTCTCAATACGATTATAAAACTAACCTATATAGCATTAATAATTCATTACATGAAACGACGTAAAATGGATCTCTCCTTTTGATTTCTTTAGCAAGGTCAAAGCCACAAAACCGTGGGAAAGAGA